TTAACATTTGAAAATCAAAGTAGTTCCACGCATAGAGCAGATTAATCTCTAATAAATATAATAGAGGACTTTCCTAAATTCTTACTGGATCTCTGTCAGCAATTATTTTTTATATGTTGATCCCACATCTATACTATTATTTGCGAATTGATTTTTCGCAACGGAGCTCTCACGTTAAAAGTTATAGTGGTTAATATCGTTTTTACCCTTAATGAAAATAATATATAAATTAGCTAAAAATATTAACGAATTTAATACTTATTTGATTAGATAAATGATTTAAATTGATAATAATGATAATTAAGAATTATCCATAATCTAAATATATAGATAAAAATAAAATAAAAAAGAGAATTCTTATAGATATTGTGTTATTATCCGGAAAATATATTTTTAATAAAAAATTAAAAAACAAACACACATAAATAAATATTCATAAAGTAAAATTTAATTTTATATAATTAAAAGTATAATATGTAATTATTTTCAAATTAAAAGAATATAATATAATGATATATATTTGTGAAGTTATTTTTCACCTCTGAACTCAGACGTTAAATTAAATTTATGTTTATATTTTATATAGTTAAACCTTAAACATGAAATAATCATATAAAATAAAAGATCATTCAAAAAGAAAGAAAATACGTGTTTGACAAAATTATATTCAAATATATTGTATTATTATCCAAACTAATTTTATTCTTTCGTAAGATCAATTTTTCAATGTATATTTATCGATTCAATTTTTCAAATTGAAAGATACATTTCTAAATTGTTATCAATTAAGAAGAAATGAAATAGACTTTAGATTTTTCAAAATTTTAAAGGAAAACATAGATTTGTTTTTTAATTTGTGAATAACTTTATCAATGTAAGAAAGTTTAATGTTATAGGTCGAATTATTTGGATGCAAATAATCATTTATTTTGATGATTTTTTAAATTGACTTAAATATAATTAAGTCCTCATGTTCGCATTTAAGTGATTTTTCGCAATGGAGCTCCCACGTTAAGAGTTACACGGGTTAATTTCGTTTATATCCTTAATGAATAAAAAATATAAATTACATAAAAAATAAAAAAGAATTTAATTATTTTAATTAGATAAGTAATGAAAACTAATAATAATCATAAGAATTATCCAAAATCTAAATAATATGTATTTAAATAAGATAATTCCTATATAGATTGTTATCCACACATATAATTTAATAAAAAATAGAAAATACATAACTAAATATTAATCAAGTAAACTTCTTAATTTTATATAATTAAAAATATTATTTGATTTTAAGATTTATTTTTAATAGTGAATATAATATACAAAGAAATATATGTAAGAATGTTTAAATGAAAATATGAATATTATTTGTTTAAAAAAACATAAATAATAATTTATCATTATAATCTTTCAATTAGTAAAAATATATTAGTAAAATAATTATAAAATGTTTAGGCCCGCAAGTGCGGGCAAAACACCTAGTTTAGTTTGATTTGATAATTTATATAGTTAACATTTGAAAATCAAAATAATCTCCACATAACGCGGATTAACCTTTACTAGATTGCGACCCACGCAACCTCGCAGATGTTTGTTTTAGAACATAAGAGTATATATATATAATGTTAATCATATATTTATATGTTTGCATAACTATTTCAAATACAATAATTTTATAATTTATATGTTATATTAATCAATTTTTAAAAACCGTATATACTTGTCACTTCTTATTATATATTTATCTTATTGTATTGCATGTAATTATTAAGAAAATTAATATATTCATGAGAAAAAATATTAAAAAAATATTTTATATTTAATTTATGGTAAATTCTAACCCGACCTTCAAAACTGGTTTTTCTTTTATCAATATTTTATGTTTATTCATTTTAGATAATATATTATTGTATATACAAAAGTCTATAAAAGTTAATTTTTTACACATGTATTATATAGCTTGCTCATTTTAAGACGTTATGTCATCATATTATATATTTAAAATAAATAGTTTGTATTTATAAACTTAACTGAATATATTAATAATATTTCAGACAAATTTCAAATTAATGAAAATATTTAAAGATAATATCGAAATAAAGATCTTATAAAAATCTTTTAAAACAGATTTGTTAGAATTTAAATAAATCTATTTATACTTAAAATGAAAAGATATATAAGGATATTATGATTAAAGTATCTTAAAGATTATAAGATTAAAAATATTGACTTGGTTTTAGTTCCATATCTTAATGAAATACATATAGTAAAAGTTTCTAGTGATAATCCATTTTTTTTTTAAAAAATCACACATGAATCAAAACTGTGAGTTATGTTTTAGTATATAAGATATATATCTATATTGTTGCAACAGAATCTCAGTTTTGAAAAGAAATAGTATCATTAACTATCTTTTAATTGTGCAGTCGAGATTCAAGATAAGTTGTTGCGTATGGCATTGTACGCTTGGGTTTTGGGGAGACCTTCTCTTGTGTATTCTTTGAATCTGACGTCAACAGAATGATCATGATATAGTATGATTTGAATAAAACAGAAAAACATGATATATTATATATTGGTTTAAATAATCGATGTTGATTAGATAAGACGATTTTGATGTTTGTTTTCAGGTGAACAGGTTCAAATAAACGTACTGGCTGTATGGACTGTGTACAAATGTTGTTGATACAAGTTGGTTTTGTTTATTATTGAACACTATGTATAGTAGTAACATACCAGAACTCTTAAACAGTTAAAAATATATTTATATATGAACCGGTATAACAGTTTATGTTTATACAGCCATTACATATATCAGATTGTTCACATTAGTTGAATGGTCTTCGTATTGCAAGTGTACATTAGCAGTATGTAATTTAATGAGTCATGTGTGGGTTTGTTAACCAAATCGTTACTATAGGAGTTGTTGTTATATTAAATATCTTATATAATTTAGTCATATTTTTAGTAACAAATGAATGCTAAATAATTTCTAGAGAGGGTCCAAAACTTAAAAAATCATATATGAAATCAAGTCATGACTTCTGTTTTAATATATAAGATAGTATATATATAATATGGTACTTTTCTCTCATCCTAGAAGATCATCAGCAATTGTTTTGTTATATGTGGGTCTCACGTTTGGTTTGATCATTAATTCTTCACGTTTGATTTGATAATTTATATAGTTAATATTTGAAAATCAAATAACTATTCTTCCGAGAGGATTCTGTCACCAATTGTTTTCATATATGTGGGTCCCACATTTAGTTTGATAATTTAGTCTCTAATATTTAATTTTGGTTCTCTGCAGTTGGTTTGATAATTGAGATAATTGGCTAAACTACCCTATTTGGCACCTATAATTAGAGAATTACCCATGATGTGACAATCACTTTCCTTTGGACCATTTTGCCCTTCTCTACACTATCTCTCCTCTCTTTGACATCTCCCCTCTTTTTTTTTTCTCTTCAATCCCTAATTATTTACAAACCTCTATCATTCTATATACAATTAAATTTTAAATTTCATTATTTTTTCATAAGTGGCTTTGAATCCTCAATTTTTACCTTTTTTCTCTCCAATCCCTAATTATTTTACAAATCTCTATCATTCTATATTCAATTAAATTTTAAATTTCATTATTTTTTTCATAAGTGGCTTTGAATCCTCAATTTTGACCTTTTTTCTCTCAAATCCCTAATTATTTTACAAATCTCTATCATTCTATATTCAATTAAATTTTAAATTTCATTATTTTTTTCATAAGTGGCTTTGAATCCTCAATTTTTTGATGATATCAATTTTCTGGGTTTTAGATTCGACGTCGTGTTAGCGGTTAAAAAATATTGTAGACGTTAACAAAAGTGTTAGTTGTTAACAATTATTTTTACGCTTCGCGTTAATAAATGTGTTCGCTGTTAACAAATATTGTAGACGTTAACAGAAGTGCTAACTGTTAACAATTATTTTTACGCTTCGCGGTAATAAATGTGTTGGCTGTTAACAAATATTTTAGACGTTAACAGAAGTGTTATATGTTAACAAATGTTTTTACGCTTCGTGTTAATGAGAGGAAAGAGAAAGAGCATTCTCGGCATTTCTTTGCCAAATGGTTGTGTCAGTGTCCTTCATATCCAATCAATGGTATTTTGCTAATTTGAACTTCAAATATGGGTAGTCTCTAAGATTTACTTTCGAATTATTATTTTGGTTTCAGTCTCATAAAATAATGTTTGGTTATGTAACCAAACTCTGCTTTTTATGTTTGAGTAGATTAGGGTTTCATCGTTATCTTTCTTTGACTCTTCAACCTTGCCATCTCCGCTAATCTTAGTCTGCAAACACCAATTTCTTTTCTCAAATCTTAACCTCCCCTATCGTTCAACGTATTCCTCTTAATTTTGCTAATAAATGTTATTTTCATTTAACCCAATAGTAATCTCGACTTCTCTGTCTCCCTTCCTATACATTGCGAACCAATAAGTCACGTCACACCTAGAAATTGGAGAGGGTTGAGAGTAGGATGAATCTTCACAACCACTCTCAGTTAATATTATATATCAAACGCAGAAACATCCTTCAAAAATGTCTTCTTCCGTTGTTGTTGTTGTTATGCAATCAGCATTCGACACTTTTCGAATCGGTAGATCTTCTCAATTCATTGTTGCTCGGCTGCTCTGTTTTTGGGACTCCAAAAACATCAAGAAACATGGTGGTGAATTCATGGAAATCACTCTACTATCCACAAGCATCTTATATTCGATCAAATTGTATTTTAAATGGCCGATGATTTAACTTTTCAAACTTTGAACACAAAATTGGATTTATTTATGCTGCTTGCGTAACTCACTACAGTCCATCTTTACGAGATGGTTCCATGGATTTATTCTGGGTAAGTTTCTTACTTTTCTTCTTTAACTATACGATTCGTAACCTTTGCATAGCATCAGATGGATGTCCAAGAGAGGTTTTGATTCCGCATTGATCAATTGTCTATGGATGATGTGAAGGTTTTCGCTACCGTTGTGGAGAAGCCCAACGATGCTTTCCCAAATGCTAGCAAGTGGTACGATTGTTTTTCTTGCCATCGTGCTAAAAGGGTTTGTCCTTTTGAAAAATTGAGATCATTTTATTAACGTTGGATTGTTACTTAACTTTCAGAAACTTAAAAGTTTCCGAGTTGCTGCAGTTTTCCTTGAAAAGCTGTTGGAGTGTCAATCGGTGGCTCTGCTGCTCCTGCTCTAGTTGAGGTACCTTTACCTGAAAGCCTGATTCTTTATGATGACGTATAAATACACAATGGCAATTTCTATGTTTCTTCTTGATAGAAATCATATAACTGGAAGAGGGTAATCAATATAATATTGAAGAATTCTCCGATATGGTGATACATGTATGGAATCACCGAATTGTGTTTTAGTAGATAAACTTTTCTTGTGTGTGTTATTAGCTGTTTTTTTTTTGTTGATTGTGAACATGCACCTCCAGCTGATGACGATAATGACATGGATCTTTTTGGTGACGAGACTGAGGAGGAAAGAAATCTGCAGAGGAGAGGGAGGCTGCTAAGAAGAACACCAAGAAGCCCAAAGAGTGTAAGCCTCTTTGTGCGTGAAGATTACAAGCATGTGATTTTAACAAAATCATTGTAGCATGGTGAAGTTTTAACATGGTAAGAACGCCATACATTTTTGTAAAAATTATCCATGCATTTTAGAGTCTTTTTCTTTGTTGGATGTGGAAAATACAGTGAGGGTAATATGCGATCACAAGAGCGGAAAATCAAAAGGTTGTAGCTTTGTGCTATTTGATTCAAAGGAAGCAGTTGCAACTGCTTTAGCTTCCATGAACTATCAGGTTTGTACATATAAACCAATTTAGAGCAAAACCTTTTTACTACACAATTCTTTTTTTTAAAACTAATTTACTACACATTTTTCTAACTTGATGTTGTCTGGGTTTTGTTTGGTGACTAGAAGGCATAAACATTAAAGTCTAATATGCTTAACCTAAAAGAGGTTTACCACATAATCAGAACTGATATATATCTCAGTTTCTGAATTCTGTAGAAATTTCAGATCTGTAGGTGAAACACCAAAACTCAAAAACAGCATTCACTCTTTCGAATTGTGACAGTGTAGAACTTAAAGATGATTTTGGTGAAGAGTCCTAGATCGTTTTGTAATAACTTTTTGTGTTCTCTTCAAGATTTGTTACTGTTCATATTTGTTGTTGGCGCTTCTTACACTTTATTGACAGTTTCTACAAATATCCATCATGTTTATAAGCATGTGCATTATTTGCTTTTGTGGTGAGCACATGTTGTGAGTGATAAAATGATTTGAGTTCTCATTCTCTTCTTAATAACCAATTTTTTGGTTAAGGGGAAAGTCCTCTGTGCTCATGGAAGTAAAGCCATGGAATGATGAGACTGAGATGAAGAAACTGGAAACGGCTGTTCGCAGTGTTGAGATGCCTGGTTTCTATGGAGAACTTGTAGGTCAACATTTTCCATCTGTCTATATTTGCATTCGGAACAAATGTAAGCTATGAACTATTCGTGTAGAGCAGCTTTCTAATTTCTTCCTTTCTTCTGTTTAATTGTTGCAGCAAAACTGGTACCAGATGGTTACGGTATCAAGAAGCTCACGGTCATGATCATATACATAATTGAGCTTACAGACCCAACATCGCACCTACCCAAACAATTTAGTATTTGTCGGGAAATTACTAGTTTTAAGAACTATTAAGGACCAAAAAAACTAAAATTCCCGCATACAATTTCCACCCCAGTTTATTTCAAGTTTTAAATGTTTATTTTAAACACGCAAAAAACAGCTACTGTAATTACAAATTAACAAAAAAACAACACCTACCAAGTTTGCGTTAATGAACATTAGTTTTAGAATTTTTGAAAGCATTTAGTCAAAAAAACATTAGTTTCAAATAAAAAAACTACAAATAAACACTTCCATATAGACTACTCTCTCATACGACATCAAAAATTATACACAATAACGAACACATAAAATAAACACACTTCTGTAGCCCATCTCAAACCTATAAATATACAATACGAATAGACCAAAGAACATAGAAAAATGCAGCATCACCTTCAAATATTTATATAGAGCTACAATTATGTAACCAACTTCGCGTTTGCGCGGAGCTACGCCCCTAGTAATAGAAAAAGGTTTGAAAAAGGGAGATGGTTAGTGGGCGGTTAATGGACGATCAAATATGTGATTGCCTTCTCTTTTCTATTGATCGAATCCTTCCTCTGATCAAGTCAGCAAGAGAGTCATCACCGATGATGAAAATGTCCATGATAATGGTCTTTATCCGAAGACGCATCTATAGTGCTCTTGTGTTTTATTTTTCTGGCCAAGCATGTGAAGGAGAATCTCTTGATGATGATGACTCTCGATCAGAATTCAAGTATTTACTATTTGAGTTTGATTAAAGCATCATCCACAGTACATGCGGCACATCTCATACACAACATGTTACTAGAATTCAATAATGATGTCATAATTGAACATTTTACAGGAATTCTATTCATGCTTTTTTTTATCTCTTTGGTGGAAAAGATCCACTGTGATGTCAGTTTGATTAAGAATTTTCAAATTTTGATTGCATGGTTGTTTCTTCTTTGTTTTCGATGGTGCCTTGGTCGACAAGTTTGGGATCTAGAAAAATTACAAGACCTGTTGCAAAAGATGCATGATGAGACCATGAGTACAAGAACAACTTCAGAAACAAGTTTAAATTCTATATTTGGTTACAATATATTTGGTATCAAAGTATGAATAAATTTGATCTATTGTTGAAACTATGGAAATCTCCATGGAAAAAAAACTACAATATGGAAGGAAAGATGTATTTTATTTGTTGTATGATATTATTCTTACAATCATTGAAAGTTAGTCATCCAGATTTTAGTTCTCATGGTTCAATCAGTACATTGGAATAATACTAGAGAATATTTCTAGCTCTAATTTAGGATAAGTTCCACGTAATACAACAAAGGAAATTGAAGACAATGATGCGACGAAGATTTAAAACTCATAGGAATTTATTAGAGTTAATACTCTATTAGTAAAGAACATCTTTGAAGGAATAGTGTCTACACAATAACTTCACTTAATCTTCTGTTATTTTTTTTAGTTATTTTTATTATATTATTTGTTGCTTTGTATTTTCATATGTACTAGGGAAATGCTCACTAATACGAGGGTATATTTTAGAAAACCTACATCTAATATTATATTTTGTATTTAAATTTATAAGGTTTATTGAACATTTAAATATTTAAATTCAATCTCGTATTAATTTTTTATGGTGGTATATATTTATAAATGAAGAATGTATAGATATTTTTGATTAGTCTGGTAGTTTTTAATCTTATATTGTTATTGAGTTTGTTTAGAAAGAAACACATATTATTTTCCGGTTTTATCTAGTGTTTCCCTCCTCCTTAAGTTGTCCAAGTCGGATGACACGTAAAAAAGTCCACGTGTCAGATAAATTGAGTTTTGTATTTCGGTATGGGCCTCTTTGTTTTGGGTTGTGGGTTTGAAAGTGTATCTGGTCTGATAGGAATGACTTCGCCAACCCTAATACGGCTGCAGGTATGAACGAAATTCGTCTCTCCTTTTCGATGAGACGGCGAGACGGTGAATTTTGCGATTCTTCTTGCAATCTTAAACGGTTTGATTAATGGCTTCATGATTAATCCCATTGATTCACCTCTCCACGATTCATCTTCAATGTTTTGCTTAGATCTGAAAGGTGGTGTGTAAACGGGTATAAATATATATATTTATATGTAGTAGTCAGTGTTCTAAAATTCGCCCTGTACGGCCGCCTATACGGCGCGAATACGCTACGCGGCACCTTAACGTAACGAAATCCTCATATACGGCTTAGTATACGGTTTGCTTTAATACGGACGCATAGACGGCGCATATCCACCGCATATACGGTACTGTATAGGCGTACACTTAACTAAATGTTAATTTGTTAACCCTAGAGTTCCAATTTTTTAAATAAAATTGAGTTAAAGGCCCAAACACACATAAAGCTACGTAGTTTAACTAAGTTTTAACCCTAATTAACAGTTTATGTCAATGCTTTGTCTTCTCTAGCGGCAAAAAAGAAGAAGCTTAAAGTCTACAGAGCTCCGACACCTTGACTCTACCAAAGGTATTGTTTTTATTTTTGTTCGCTTTTGTTTCTCTGCACATGATTGTTTTGTTTTGAGTTGAGAAGAATTTTTTATATATATAATTTATATTATAGTGTGAATTATCAGGTATGTTTGCAAAGTACGATCACTCTGTTCTTATTACATGTTTGTTTTTACAAAAATTTCAGAAAATCATTCAAGAGATTTTGGTATGGTTGGACCATCTGCAAATTCAAGTATGGACCAAGCAGGATCTTCAGAAACTTCTGTTTTGAAAAGAAATTCCAAAGACGTTGCTTGGGAATATGGGATGTTGTGTAATCCAAGTAATCCAGATAAGGTGAAGTGTAAACTATGTGGGAAACAGTTTTCTGGTGGTGCATTTAGGATTAAAGAGCATATTGCCAAGATTTCAGGAAATGTTTCTGCTTGTCCACAATCAACAAAAGATGATCAAGAAAAATGCAAAAAAGCTATTGATGAAGCAAAGAAGAAAAAGAAAAACAAGAGAAGTTCAGATGATGACTTGCGAAAATCTGTGAAGATTTGTGATGGTGGAGATGAGGATGATTATGCTGGTTCTGAACTTGAAGAGTTGAGGTCAACAAAAATTCCTCGTACTCTTGGTCCAATGGATAAATTTGCATCAGATATCAACCCACAACTTTCTTCCATGGCAACCAGACAACAAAATATTAGTGATGCTCTGGGGAAAGAAAGACTACATAAAGTTCATCAATACATTGGCAGATGGCTTTTTGCTTCTGGTGTTCCCTTTCATGCTACTGCAAATGATGAGTTCAAGTTGATGCTTGAAGCTGTTGGACAGTTTGGCCGGGGAGTTACACCACCAAGTCAATATATGCTAAGAGAGCCTTTACTGAAAGAAGAAGTTGAGAGAATCAAGGGTTTATTAAAGGGCCAGGAAGAAGAGAGGAAAGAGAACGGGTGTTCAGTTTTAACAGATGCTTGGTCTGATAGAAAAAGAAGAAGTATTATGAACTTGTGTATTAATTGCAGAGGAGGAACCATGTTTCTTTCTTCAAAAGAGTGTTCAGACGAGGCTCATACATGTGAATTTATTTATGAGTATGTCAAAGAGTGCATTGAGGATGTTGGCGTAGAGAATGTGGTTCAAGTAGTAACCGACAATGCACCAAACAACATGGCCGCTGCGAGGATCTTGAAAGAGAAAATGCCAAACATTTTTTGGACATCATGTGCTGCCCACACTGTTAATTTGATGCTAGAGAGCATTGCAAAACTCCAAAGTTTTAAGACCATCATCCAGAGGGCTAAAGGGTTCACAATCTTTGTTTATGCTCACCACAAGACTTTAGCGTTGATGAGAAAGTTCACAAACAATAAAGACATTGTGAGACCAGGGGTTACTAGATTTCCCTCATGTTTTCTAACTTTGCAAAGCTTGATGGACAAGACTGATCAGTTGCAGTCCATGTTTGTTAGTGCTGATTGGAAAAACTGCAAATGGGCAAAGCACTCTAAAGGAGTGGCAGCTTATAAAACAATGACGAGTATACAGTTTTGGAATGGAGTCACTATGTGCTTGAAGGTTTTTGGACCTTTGGTTAAGGTGCTTAGATTGGTTGATGGTGATAAGAAACCTACAATGGGATATCTGCATGGAGAGTTGTTACAAGCAAAGAAAGATATACGTGCTGGGTTGAATAACATTGAAAGGAATATTCAGCCAATCATGAATATCATTGACCAAAGGATTGAGGGTCGACTTGACAATCCTTTGCATATGACGGGTTATCTCTTAAACCCTTACTATCTATACAAGGATCAGACCATTCCATTACATAACAATGTGCTCACAAGTTTTTTCAAGTGTGTCAATGCTTTTATTCCGGATGACCTTTCCAAGCAATGCAACGTCATCAATTCCGAGATTAATAAATACAAGAACAAGGAAGATAATTTTGGGACACCATGGGCTATAAAAGGCTGTGAAGAAATTAAAGATGATTATGATCCAGGTATGTTAAAAAGTTAAAGCCATTATACACCTTTACGAACTTGCACTTATCTTTATTTTCTTATTAGTTGAATGGTGGAATACTTACGGGGCATCAGTGCCTAATTTGCAAAGAATGGCAAAGAGAATTTTGTCTTTAACTACTAGTTCATCAGGATGTGAAAGAGCTTGGAGTTCTTTTGAAGGGGTAATCTTTTTTATTCGTTTATGATTTTAAACTTTTCTAACTTAATATTTCAATATTGATTACTTTGTTTTAAAAATGCAGATACATACAAAAAAACGCAACCGGCTTAGTACAACTAGGATGAATAATCTTGTATTTGTCCAGTTTAATACAAGATTGTTGAATAAAAGAAAAAGACAGAAGGAGAAGAACATTGATATATTGATTGCTGATGATGCTACTCACGCTCAAGAATGGCTTGTTGAAGGTGATGATGAAGAACATGAATCAGCTATGGATGT